TGTAAGCCTGGCGTGTAGCCGCGCGGCTCAGGTCGGGAATAATTTGTGACGGCCCAGAGTAACAAGGTGTGCACTCATACGGACGAGAAGCGAGGAACACTATTGTTATTGTTGCATCTTGCAACATAAACTTTGCTTTTCATAGAATATAATAAATTGTTTTTTTGCTGGTTTTGTATGTGTATTTTTTATTTTGCAATTTTTGCTGACGGCATTTGCGTTTTTGTTGCAGAGTATGTGCGCGGCTCGTACGGCGGGAGATCCCCAAGCCACTCCGGCCTGCACCCGAGCGGATCGTCCGGCGGGAGCGGGACGCGCGCGAGGGATCGCTCGGGGCGGGATCGGGACCGCGACCGGGATCGGGACCGGGATGGCGAGAAGAGCCGCGACTGGAACCTGGAGACCAACCACCTGCAGGACGACGCCCTGTACGCCAACGACGCCTCCATGGCGCCCACCCTCGCGAGCCATCACAGGTGAGTCATCGCTACCAATGTCCTTGCTCGGCACAAATTTCATGACACTTTTTCTTCTCCCTGAACGGTGTGCGATCGAAACTTGGCTGGGCTGCCCAGTTTCCAAGAGAGCGGGGGGAAAATGTGGGAGGGGGCTGCTGAAGTGTTTGCTGCTGCATTTTATTATTCCCAATTGTACTTTCTTTTTTGAAAGGGAAGGCCTTGAGGACAATAACTGGGCTGGCACACGGTGGTCTTATAAAGAACGCCCGCTGGAGGCGGAGCGGGGAGGCTGATGGCCCCAGTGCCCGTGATTGGGATCGTATTGTGTTCTTCATAATGCCCCCGTCGGAAAAAAAATCATTAATTTATTTTCTCCTCATACCAATATAACTGCAGAATTGAATAAATGACGCAGGTTTGTGCCTTTTCTTGCCGGGGAGTCTCGGCAGGCGAGGCGCACATAGCGAGCGAGTCGGTGAAGCGTCTTGTCTGCTGTGCTGTCTTCGCGCTGCGCCGTGGAAGCTTAATTTAGGGCTGCGAGCGCGTGGCCGGGCGTGGCGGGGCGCGGCGTGGGTGCGTAAAACAGCGGCAAGGGTCCACTGGCGCGCATGTCGTATGCCCGTGTGCCTCACGACATTCCTGGGGTTCATGGCCTCGAAGCAAGTTTACGGTACCATAACCTGCGGTCTGACAAGTTTATTAAAGTGGGGAAAGTTGTCGCGCCGGCAGTGAATGAACTGC